CGGTCGCTAAGCTTCCTACAATTCGAATCTTATTTGCAATAGCCTTGTTTCAAAAATGGCCAGTTCATCAACTTGACGTTGCAAACGCATTTTTGCACGGCGAGATTCAGGATACGGTTCACATGAAACAACCTAAAGGGTTCGAGGATCCTTCCAAACCAAACCATGTCTGCCTTTTGAAGAAAGCCATTTACGGGCTCCGACAAGCACCGAGACAATGGTATACTACTTTCACATCTTATTTACTTCAAATTGGCTTTAATCATAGCAGGGCCGATCCATCACTATTAACCCTTCACCGTGAGCACATTCAACTCTATCTACTGGTATATGTCGACGACATTCTTCTCACCGGCAACAACACTAAGGCCATGACCGATCTAGTGGTTCAGCTCAAATCAAAATTCGCCATGAAAGATTTGGGTCCAGCATATCAGTTTCTCGGCATTAAGATAGAATCTCATCCAGATAAGTACTTTCTATCTCAGAGTTTATACGCCAATTCTATTGTTCAAATGGCCGAGTTACAGAAATGCAACTCGGTCGCTAATCCATCATTTACGAAACAAACAGACCTGACGGATGCAGGCCAGCCGCTCTTTGACGCAACCAGCTACCGCCGGATCATCGGGTCGCTGCAATATCTCACATTAACGAGACCAGACATCGCATATGCCGTCAATGCTCTATCTCAGCACATGCACAACCCGTCCACCTCGCATACCAAAATGCTTAAGAAGCTCGTCAGGTACATCAAAGGCTCTACTGAATTCGGCCTTCCAATCACTCGTTCCAATTTGATCCTTCGGACCTTCTCGGACGCCGATTGGGCCTCGGATCCAATCACTCGCAAATCCACGTCTGGCTTCTGTACATTTCTTGGCGATACTCTAGTGTCTTGGACTGTTAAGAAACAAAACACTGTCTCCCGATCCTCCACTGAGTCAGAATACAGGGCGTTAGCAGCCGCTACCGCCGATACTATCTGGATAAAGAGGCTTCTCGAAGACTTTTGTGTTCAGCACCCTCAACCAGTTGACGTTTATTGCGACAACATTTCCACTATTGCACTAGCTAATAACCCTCTCTTTCATGCAAGAACAAAACATATCGAGATTGACCAGAGGTTCGTTAGAGATCACATCCTGCACAATGTCATTCGGCTACTACCCATAAGCACGGTCGATCAGATCGCGGACATTCTTACCAAGCCTTTGGCCACACCTCGATATAAACTCCTTCGCTCCAAACTGACCATTGGCTGCAATAATCAGTTTGAGGGGGAATGTCAAGGATAAATGCTTTATGTATTTA